TTTCAATACCACTTCTCCATACAAACCTGGTTCACCAGTTTCCTTGTCAGATTTTCTCTTTCTAATGCTAGTATCTTGATGATAACCATTGTGGACTCCATTCTGTGTAATTGGCACATCACTGGGCTTACTCTTTTCATTTTCCTTTTTTGGTCGGTTTACACGCCTCCTGGAACATGAACAGATTTTGATTTGTACACAAAATGAGAGCTGATCAACAGGCAATGTATGAATGCACAGTTTTTAAGCCAAAAAATGCTTTTACCAGTCAACTTTGGCTTCACTGGCCAGCGCATCCACAAAGGTCAGCTGTTATATTTCACCCTGTCAGCCACTTGGGTTAAGTATTAAAAAAACTAGTATGTACATAACTCTTCATTACCGCTAAATGAGCTTTGAACAACCTGGCCCAGGTGTTTCAATTCTTTCAGCTCTTCTTGATGTTCTTCAAATGACTTCCTTTTTTACACATACTCCAAAGAAAACTACAGTATGACCCAGATATTTTCTTGGTGGGGCCCCAATTCCCTGATCGGTCATTGATACCATAGGGATCCCAATTGTGAAAAATTGATATGTAACCAGAAAAAACAAATCTCCATGTATTGTATTTATTTATAAATCATAACAAACTTACTTTTTGATCTGTTTAGTTTTTCTTCTTCGTCTGATATTTTCATCATGATCGGTTGACACCATGTGGAAGTGAAGAGTGCCTAAGAGTATCATAACCTACAAAAACACAAAATAAACCAACAAATAATTTRTACATATAGCACTAGATAAGCCTCCTTCAATGTTTTCTTTTGGGCTGCTTTTGTAATGGTCATATYGACTGTTGGGGACTAGTGACTAGACTCTAGCTCCCAATCTCCCTCTTCTGACTCCCAACAAAAAACAAGAGAATGAGAAGGACGAGAGAAGAAGAAAAAGATGTATATGAGGACTTGTGTATATGGTTTGTTGTTAGGTTCTTACCAAAGCTGGTCCATAAACTTCTGTCCAAGATACAATCTTTCAAAAGAAAAACAAACCACCAATGAACCAGTTTGTCACTCCATCATTCAATCAATCGTCCACTCAAGTGACCAATCAATCAATCAATCAATCAATTATTCAGTCAATCAATCAATCAATCAAAACATCAATAAGCCAATCCATTATTCAATCAATCAATCAATCAGTCAATCAATCAATCAAAACATCAATAAGAAAATCCATTATTAAATCAATCAATCAATCAATCAATCAATCAACAAACCCCAAAAATCAATCAAAACATCAATAAGCCAATCGACCATTCAATCAATCAATTTACAAATATCTTATTAGCATGATAAATTTTCTTACCTTGAAGCTAGAGTCATACTTAAACGTATAAATAACTACAGTAAAAATCTCACAGAAATATAAAAACAGGAACAACAGCCATATTCTACAGGAAGTCTGTTGTCTCCACCTGGTGACATGCAAATGAAATACTGATGACCATTAGTGCTCCTTACCTCTCCTCTCAAGTCTCCAGAGGTGATTTTCAAGAATAGCCACATTCAATGCAAAAACTAACAAGCAACATGTCAATTTCATCAGATTCAAGGAGTTTTCAAGGGGTTTTCAAGGAGTTTTAGTGATTTTACCATTTTCAAGGTCTTTTCAAGGACCCTTGAAAACCAGTTTTCAATTCCAGGACTTTTTAAGGATTTCAAGGAGTAGCACGAACCCTTATTTTAATTACTAAAGACATCTTTGTAACCTTATAAATGGTTTTCTGCAAWATTTTAGGCTTGCCCTAATTCTCTCTTTATTACTCAATATAAGGATTATGAAAATTCATGAAAAGAGTTTCCACCTCTCCTGTTTCCCTTCATTGTTCCTTGGGAGACTAAGGCTAWGCCTAGCAATAACTAGAATGTATGCAAGTACTCTCTCATTCAGTTCAATTTCCTGACTTTGAAGATCACTTTTAATCAGGGTTGTTTGCAACCTACATGTAGATGTCTCACTTTCTTACAACTTTACACGATGGTCGGTTGCTATGGACTTTCCTCCCGGAAGATTCTAAGATTTTGTTTTAATTCAAAATTTAGTCAGTCAAGTTGAAAACGATGCAAAACTTCAGTAGATGTAGAATAGAACAAAAATATTTGAATTTTCTACAAATTGTGAAGGACTTTTTAACGTTTTTGAATGTTATGACGTCACTAGCACCAGCTATTTTTAGAACATCCCTAAAAACGTTATAATTAGTCTTCATTGTACTATTGCTAATATTGCCATAACAAACTAATGTTAATCCCGAAAATTCCATGTAAATCGGATAAAACGGTAAAAAGTTACAACAAATTGAAAAATTCAAATTTCCCGCCAAATGACCATATATGGTCAAAAAAGAAGCGATTTACACGCCCACAGGATAAAGTGTATCACAAATATACTTGTACCATAGGGCATGGAGTGAAAATTGTAGTTTTTTTGACTTGGGATTGTATGCTTATTTTTCCTCTTTCGTCAAGAAATACGTCATTGTGACGTGTTTTGACGTCATTATGACGTACTTAATGACGAAAAACGCAAAAAAAGCGTATAGTCCCAAGTCAAAAAAACTACAATTTTGACTGCATGCCCTATGGTACAAGTATATTTGGGATACACTTTATCCTGTGGGCGTGTAAATCGCTTCTTTTTTGACCATATATGGTCATTTGGCGGGAAATTTGAATAAAATCTATTATTTTTGATTATTTTTAACTCCACGACAATTTAACTGATTTATATGGGGTTTTCACCAAAATATGTAGAATTAGCGACTTGATATTACTGTATTTTCTTTTGCCTTGTTTTACAATTGGTAATGCAGTAAACAATTATAACGTAATTAATGACGTCACAATTGTAGTCACATGACCAATTTTGCTATCAAACAATTACTATGCTCACATACTATGCACCTGCCAAGTTTCGTTTTAATTGATTAAATCTTCGTAAACTTCGACCTTCCGGGAGGAAAACCCATAGCAACCGACCATCGTGTTAAAGGTGAAAATCATATTGCTTTTCCTTGAAGTAAATATCTTGTTCCATGTACCCACTGCCCATAAATGAAAGATCGTATAACCCATAATTTCTGAGTGCACTCACCAAGCTCCATAGAAAGGGTAAAATACAACTCTACAAAGACCTTTTCTGGCRACATCTATCCATGTATGAACAGGCTTAGCTTTGTGAAATGTTGATCCTAGGTAAGGAAAAGATCATTTTGATAAACAACTTGATGAAAGTATGAAACAAAGATATTGATCAGCAATGACAATACAATGACACTRACAATTACAACACAGATAACAATTAACATAATAGACTTTGGAAGCTTTTAAGTCATTGCATACGCAATAYATTGCTGGATATGTTTTGGATAAAACATGGTGGATTTCTTTTGTTTTCTCCAGAAATTGCTCCCACAATGCATTTCCAATCGAGTRGGCCGTGTAAAAACCTCAGAAATGCATTGAACATGTATGGACAATAAAAATTATCAGAGAAAAATAAAAAAATATACTACAAAAGCAAAAATAACTACAAAAGCAAAATCTTTTTTCAATGACTTTTATTAATATATCTTTTATATTTTAATTTTAGAAACTATTTAAAAATAGTTTCTACAAGTAGTTTAAATGTACATGTAWCTTACCTACTACAAGGTCAACATCTATAAGCTCTGGTTTGAGATTTCCTGGCTTTTTTGTAATGTGAGCAGAAATCTAATAATGTCAAACATAAATGYAAATAAAGGATTTATCATTACAAGACACTGCAACCCCCCTTGTTTCCCCATTAACACTACTAAGACAGGGAGGGGTACAGTTGTATATTAAWTATGATGRCATCTCACCTGCTCTTGTTCTTGTTCTTCAAAAGTTCTTTCCCATGATGCCTTGTCATATCTTCCAAGCTAAAATTAACAAATCAAATGCCAACACACTATTAGAGATGTGGAGAGCACAAACAAAAAACCCTTGATTCTCAAGTGCACTTCACTTTTGTCACAAGTGCYGTGTTTGTAATAAATGRATGGAACTRAGCCACAAGCAGCTGTGACAKCAAGCCGTGATGCCTTTACTGCTTTTTTAATGGTTTGAAAATTATAATTTTAAACATTCAAGAAAGGGAACTCTTTGAATCTCATTTTTATCCTTGAAACAGATGGATACTACAGAAATCAAAATTGACACAAAATTGGCTGATTTTCCATGAATAAATTGTGTGAAGAGAGTGATGCATGATGGTTGAAAAATACCCTTTAATATTTCAGGCTCTATAGAGAAGACAGATGACAAGCTGTGTCTCTAAAGTCTGCAGTATACATTTGTATATTGTTACCAGTGAGAAAAAAAAAAAAAAAACTACATAAATAAACAATCATATTTTATTGCAGTGAAAAACAAATGAAACTTATTTGGGAATCTTTTCATTTTTTTTTTTCAATTTGGACTACTGTATTTTCTAAAATACAACTTTTTACATGATTATGTGAGGTAGTTTTCGTTTTAAGGGTTAATGTCGTTAACGATAAAATCAAAAATATCCAAATTAAATTTAACTGAGACCAATTGTGTGGTTTTTTGGGATATTTATTTAATAACAAGGGAATTGTAAAGTGGTGTTATTTTAGGAACATAATTCTGTATTTATATTTAGCTATGGTTGAGTTTTAACATGTAGCATTTTTTTTTGAATTTTCATTATTATAGCTACGACGAAACAATGCCAAGATGGCTTGTTGAATGAGAAAAAAAAACAACATTTTACTAAGAAAATCGTTTTTTTTTTTTACAGGAAGCTACATGTAAGAAAACATTGTAATTAGTGAAACAGATAAGCTTACTTGATATATCAGGAAATAAAAACAATTTCAATTTACAGGTTCCTTGGATTAAACTATTTTTTTCTAACAAGGAGATGCAGAAATGCATCAATATCCAACCAATATTTTTTTCTTCGTTTTTTTTCTTATATTTGATAAAAGTCGATAAGACCATATCAAGATTTCTGACATTTTGGATAATTATCTAGTGGAGTATTTTCCTGTGAATTTGGATGGATTTTTCATGGCGAATTTGATAACAGAAAATTTACTGACAGATTTTTTTAGTCGAGAAAAATCAGAAACAGCAGTGGGTGTTAAGTTAAGCCAAGATATGAAACGAAACAAAACATTTTCATCTTACCAAATAGYTSAGTACAGTGGGGGTCATTGCTTTTATTGGCCCCAGCAACAAAGAAAGGTATAGCTCCAGACTGCGTCATTTTCAAAAATCCGTTGAACTTATTTKAAGAAATCGAATTATTTATATGAAACGTTGCCATATATGAATCTTGATAATTCATAATTCTGCTTTACAGAAAAGGCGAGCTTGCGGATAAGATATTATGCGAGAAATTCAAGAGATCTCTTGAAACGAAGCATCGTGCAAAATAGGAATGTCAATAATCACATTAAAACTATTTATTTTACCTACCAAAGGAAGGTTTATTAATTTTTTTTAGATACATGATCATACCTTACGGTGAAACCAGGAAAGACTTTTATCCAAGTCCATAAAAAAGGACAGGAATTGAAGAGGGAAATTCGACGACCAAAAAATTCTTCAAATCCCGGCGCCGACTGTGTAGCTCAGTAGTTTGATGCTTGTCCAATTCTMCGTGGAAATATTCCGCAAATTACCGCTAACGAAGATCAAAACAAACGCCCTGTCAGTTAATATATGTCATAGGAGGCTTATAACTGTTAAATYGGTTCAAAGTATAGAAATTAACGGGTGAAAATGCTGGAGTATCTTCACAGATGGTATTATCTTCTACAGCTTTGCGCGTTTTTTACCGACGTGTATATCGCGGGCTCAGGCAATTCAAGGTCATGCATAAATTATAGGTTTAATCTTTCAAAACAAGAAGTCATGTTATTCAATAGACTTTCTTTGTTACAAGTTCATTGTTGAAATAATAAACCAGATTATAAAGGGATGGAACAGAGTTATATTCAATTTACTAGAAAAAAATCGTTATCTGGGCTACCTGTGCCAATTTTTACGTCGACATACCTGGGCCAGTGTTCAGTTTGCTATGACATTGAATATTTCTCCTGCTTCCTAAGTTAATTGTGTGCGTGTTTGTGCGTGTTTCTTTAAAAGTTTATAAACATTTTGAATACAGATAACTCTGTTCAGACTAGGTCAAGAAAACACAGGAAACCCATACGATTTTTCCAAAGCACTGAGCCCACACACCTAGTGGACTTCCTAGTTAGCGCGATTWTGGATAGCCTCCTTTGCAGACGTTATTAGTATCGGTCATAATTTCCCTCTCCACTAATGGACGTCTGCAAAGGAGGCTAGATTTTGGAYTAATCGGGATACCATAGCGAAGAGCCGGAATCTCTAACTGAAATATAAATCGATTCAACGTCTAAGCTTCACAGTCACATCCGGGAGAATTGTCAGTAGCTATTATTTTCGATTTAATTATAGCATGCCATGAAATCCCCAGCGTTATTGTTCTTGTTTTTTACAAGATTTTTTTCTTATTTTTCTCCTTGTATCAAAAATGTGTCAGAAAAGAGTGAAAGTGTACAAAATATTACAGATATTAAGCAAGAATATAGTTTTACCTTGACACAACATCAGTTGGTAGGAAGAAAGCCAAGAAACCTTGTACTCTGTTGTACTGAATTGGATCATTTCGCTCAATATACGTCAAACTTGCCATCTTGGATTTCTCATTGTTCTCTATTGTTCATGCCACAGCTCTTTTATCTTTTGAATCTCATGGGAATATGGTTGAAAATGATCCCTGATTCAATATCTGCAATATTCTTAGCTTTCTTGAGGAAATTTGCAGACCTCAAGGACTTAAAAATAACTTTGATTGTTGTTTTTGATTTTACGTGTATTGTTGATACGCACTAAATCGAGACATTCACCGTTTTCGTTTTTTTGAACTCCTCAGTTGCTTTAGCTTTCTCTGCGATATTTTAAAGTCGGAGGTTATTTTCATGGTTCGGTGATAAAAAATTGAAATGTGAACAAACTTTTTAGAAACCGGGATATTTCATTAGCAATGTACTCCGTTATAGATTTTAACTGGAATGAAAAACTGGAATTCTTCGACAATTTTGASAATTTTGAGCTTTCTCGATACAGTATGAGCGCGCGTTGGGATCCCTGTGTACGACTTCAATTTTGCGTCGACAAAGGTTTCTATGCCGACGCCCAAAATTCAGAGTCCCCGAATTTTTGGTCGATTCACGCTGGGTAATTTTATTGCTCAGTTTTTTAGAAGCTTTAGCTTTACAAACCAAACCTAAATCATTCAACAGTAGTTGTTACTTGTTACRCATTTTCCAAACTCCACAAGTGTTTGTGAAAATGTCTACAAATTTGTCCGGAAATCCTCCGTCCTTGGCTTTTGCACCATCACTCGCTGGACGCCCCCAATCAAGTATTCCAACGCTTGGATCAGTAGTAAGACCAATTACTCCAGTGAGCCTTGAAAACATCACATCAGCCAAAGCCGAGAAGAAAACAAAGAAYATCGCGAGACCAAGATCCGCAATCCCRTCTCCATCAAAGAATGCGGCAAGGTCCAATTCCTTCCTTTCCACCAAGCGGATTGTGCCTTGCCCTCCAAACGTACCTAAACCTGGGAAATCATTCCCCAGAAGACGTCAAACAGTTGTTCCAGCTACCTACATTCAACCTCGTAAGAGCCCTGAGCTTGGAGGTCCATATGCGCTAGCTGTGGTTGGCAAAACTGTAGGAAAAGCTGACAAAAACACCTCGCAATTTGARGAAAAATCGAATCAGGACCTTGTCGAAGAAAAGGTACCTCAAAAATCWAAAAGCATTTGCTAAAATATTTGAAAATAATAAATATTTCAAAAAAKTATTAAGTACAATAACATTTAGAGTTTACACTATGGAAACTATCTAATAAAACAATGTCTGAAAACAAGAGAAGGAAAATTCTCGCGATGAAATTTGCATAATCGTGGGCATGCGCATCAAGTCAATTTGAGGAGAATCGAAAAAAAAAATGTCAAATAGCTATAAATTTACCCAAAACCCAAACGTTTCCAACTTTAAAAGWTGCAAGTTATGCTGTAAAATATCAAATTAACTTGCTGTTGTCTTATCATGAATTCAATTTTAAATGCAAGCGAAAATTTCAGGTAGGTTAAAACTTTTGCCTAACTTTTGGATCACCACGCCTTTTCGCTTGCCTGCTCGCTAAACTTTTTCCCGAAAATCATCAGATTACAATGTAGTTTCTTAATTTTTCTATTCATTATCTCAATAAAAGTAAAATGACAATTGTTATTATCGCTTTTTTTAGGAACAATTAGCGTACAAGAGCAAAATTCCAAGATCCTTCGACAGGTTCAAGTAAGCTTATGGAAACTGATTTTCACTTCTTGACTTCTTTTCCGAGTTTTTCGTCACAGCTAAAGCATGCAGCTTTCATGTTCTTTGTTGATCTTTTGTATAACTTTGTTTATTCTAAATCTTAACTGTGATTCGGTCTTTTAATAAGGMAAAATGGAAGCAAGCTTCCACCTTCAAGATCTTTTGACGAACTCTCCAAGGGAAGTAAAATCCCAGTTCTTTCAAGAAAAAATTCAAAATCAAGGTAACCGTGTTTTGACATTTCATCTTTTACTTSKCCTTTTCGATAAAAGTTTAAATTAACTTTTTATTAACTTTAATACTTTTATTTTGTTTTAGGGCCGCTACACCTTGCTACAGTCGATGCAACAGTCTTGWAGWACAGACTGAAAGYCTTGATGCCATCAATGGMGGGCCTTTGTTTACAGAAGAATCAGACAAGGTAAGTGGATAGTTCATTTATATCTATAGCTTTTTTATTTATTATTTAAATGAATATTTAAGACATTTTACCCGAGTTTTTATCATTAGTAATGTTATTGAAAAAGTTGGATTTTTTTGAATGTTTGCATTGAACTGGCTTCCCTAGTTTTTATCCAATCAGATTTCATTTTGAATGCGCGTGATTGGTGCTTGTCAGAGTTTTATCCAATGAAAACTCTTGAAAAATAGAGAATATTTTGAGTGCTTTTGAAAGACTTCCAAAATTGAAAAAAAAGTGAAATTCATCGTGTTTATAGCTCTTTTTGTTTRAAACGTACCGATTAAATTAAATATCGAATGTCGCAACTACACACAGCTTAATTCCCTCGTCAATTTATATAATTCTTTTAACTTTTCAATGTTTTCATATTAAATATTTTCATGTTTATAGGGCTCCTACAAGCCAGTTACGGTCATCATCAAGAAGAAGTGTGTATCAGAAACGGCTTTACTGAGCGAAGAAAAGACCGAAGGACAATCATCTCCCGAGCTAAGCAAACARGTCCGTCTCAGCCGCTCTAGATCAGCTCGTCATGTTTTAGACATGGGAAAAGTYGACATCAATGCACATTATTACCGTGACTTGGCCATCCAAATGGAAAAGCCTAAAGCGCTTCTTCGATCCAGGTAAGAGCAATAAAGGAAACTTCGTTTGTTGCTGGTTGCTCGGGTTAATTCATTAGTTGGTTCAGTTGTTCCATGTTCCCTGGTTGCCAGGTTGGTTAATTAAGTTGTTGGTCTGTTTCCTGGTTGCCTGGTTGGTTAATTAGTTGTTTGGTCTGTTTCCTGGTTGCCTTGTTGTTTAATTATTTGTTTGGTCTGTTTCTTGGTTGCCTGGTTGGTTAATTAGTTGGTTGTTCTGTTTCCTGGTTGCCTGGTTGGTTAATTAGTTGGTTAGTCTGCTTCCTGGTTGCTTGGTTTGTTTAATTAGTTGGTTGGTCTATTTCCTGGTTGCTTAATTAGTTGGTTGTTCTGTTTCCTGGTTGCCTGGTTGGTTAATTAGTTGGTTAGTCTGCTTCCTGGTTGCTTGGTTTGTTTAATTAGTTGGTTGGTCTATTTCCTGGTTGCTTAATTAGTTGGTTGTTCTGTTTCCTGGTTGCCTGGTTGGTTAATTAGTTGGTTGGTCTGTTT